AAATGTTTTAAAAGTTGCTAGATTATTTACAATGATGTCTTTCCGCTCATAATATACCATTTTTATCTGTATAATATATATATGAGCGATACCTAGTAATATCTGCGTGTGATCCGCACACTCAGTGGTTATTACACACAGTAGTTTTTCCAATAATATCTAACGAGCGAGTAATGTCCGCTTGTATTCCGCTGCTAAAAGTTATTACAGATACAATAATATTCGCCTCGATCATTACAGAGCCGCCATATTAATCACACGGCCGCATGTAATAATCACACAGCCGGCAGTAGTTCTTTTTCGTAAGGGCAACTTTTAATTTTCTGCCTTATGTTCCGTTATGACGGTTAAGTAAGTTCTCGAATATAAAATTGACGTTCGAAAATTACATTTGATGGTTCGACGTTTATCGAATTATACCTTATAATACATCAGTATCTGACATTAAAATCATATCTAACTTATATAAACTCATATTTGACTAGTATAAAAGTTTATATGATCATACAGAATTATATCCGATCCACATATAATCCTATATGATCACATGATTTTCCATTTTTTTTCGGGTAGTTTCGTATTTATGCTTTTGTGTGTAGACTTGAGAAAAAATAAAAAATCATGTGATCATATAGGATTATACGTGGATCGGATATAATTTTGTACAATCGTATAAACTTTTATATAGGTCAAATATGATTTTATATAAGTTGGATATGATTTTTAGGGGTTCGTATAAAATCAGATCCAAAATTTGGCGCGATCTGATTTTATATGATCATATAAATATAAAAAATTATATTTTGGTAAAACCTTTTTCATATATATTTATACACAAATTACAATTATTATATCTAATTATGCAAATTTATATGTGTGTATGTGTGTGTGTGTGTGTGCCGAATATGTCCATACAATTGTATACATGAAAAATTTTTTACCGAGAATACATGTTTATGTAAACAAAAGTAGCTACGTTTTGCGTTCCTACTACTAAGAGTTCCTTTTTATAGAAAGGTTAGTTTATTTTATGACACAAAAATATTTAGGAAATATAATTAAAATCGGAAATATATTTTACTATATTTAATAATCCAAGCAAGGTGTTCATAAAAGTGTGTAATATAATTAAGTGTGTATTATATTACAATATAGTAAGATAAAATAAATTTTATATTACGTAACAATATTACGATATATTTAAGTAGGTATAGCAATCTCCCTGATAGAAATTGAAATTAGAAAATACTCATTATTTAGCTTCGGCGGTATACAGTCCAAGAAATGATCAATTTAAGTGTCTTGTTTTAAGATATAAGTGTAACGCTTTTTTCGATCTAATTCCACCATTCAATGAATTCAATAAATATATGGGTAATTCTCAAAAAACGTAATCTCCGTGGACTGTAATCTCCGTGGTATATTGACATAAAAAACATAGATAAGTTTTTTATATTGCATAGTCACGTATTCATATTAGGAATGGTGACTTAAAATGGTATGAAAAAACATAATTCACCGCTATCCGTTAGTTACTAATAATTATTTTTTATCAAAACTGAAAGTTGAAATTTACGCGTTCACAGAGAATCACCCATATGAATTATCAAGTCATTTCTTAACAATAAAGAATGTTCTCTCAAGTACCAAAATAAATGACTTTATTTAAAATAGTCAAATTTTTGCCATTATTTAAATATTTTAAATGGATTCATTGATTAATCAATAATAAAAGCTTTTAAATAATCAGTTTTTAACTATTAATTATCTTGTTTCATTTATTATGCACAACAATGATTGAAAAGTAATTACATGTTGATTATAATTATCTTCACATAACCGCTATCTAAGATAGACAACTTGATAACTATTAATAAGACGATATTAAAAAGATAAATAGTTGATTATAATGAACATTAAATTGCAACTCAAAATCAAGTGATATGCCAATTAAAACTTACACTAATTCCTTTTCTCTTGATACCATTCATCAGCATTATCTAACTCAAAAGTATAATCACTGTAATGTTCATTTTCATTATCCTCATGCTTTTTATTGCTATAATTTTGTTCACTCAAATCAGTTTGTTTGTTACAAGTGTTTGAAATTATAATTCCATCTTTATTCTCACTTTGATCAAAGTTGCAACGATATTTCCATATGTAGATCAAACTAAAAAGGAAAAGTAAGTAAAGAAAATGCTAATGCAGTAATTATTGTTTCTTTTATTTTGTGGAGATAAGATTTAGAAAGTTTTAGTAGTAACGTAACAATGTACCTATACAATCTACGGTTCTTCATTATATAGATATTTGATTTTACCGCGTCTTCCAGCTGAATGGATAGTTCTTTATTGGGAAAATTTCACAAGTAAGGCCGAATTTACTATTCGAGTTAATCATGATCACGCTGAAACAGCTCTATCACATATGCCTGGTGATAGAATTTATTTAGACAACGATAAAGTTTATACATCATTTCCTATAACACCTGTAATGTTCACTCATTTTGTAGCAACAGTAGTCATACCTTGTAAGTGTGCCGTATCTTTCTTAGTGTTGGACAGAGTTACTATAGCAAGCAGATTAGAAGTAAAAATGGACATTTTATATGCACAATCTCTTATACAAGATATAACCAAATTAACCAGACACAATAAAGAGCTTGTTACACCAGCCTCATACGTGCATTATGTAGCACTTCCAATAAACTCCAGTTCTTACAAAACTATAGTACAGTTTTTTACAACAAAAAGTTGTTATGCATTTCCACAGTATATATCCTCCAATAGGCAAATTGTGAAAATATTGCACAAATATGACATCATGAGTGACGACGATTTTTTGCATTTCTTCATATGCAATCATATTTCTACATATTTGAAACATCACACATAGCTGAATTTCTTTTCTCAATTATTGGACAATTTCTTTGTGAAATTAATTTTGCAAATATACTGCTAAGATGATTCGCCATATTCGTTATTCTTTTGCCGAAATAGTATTTGGAAAGTAATTTTGCAAACAACTACAAATATTTCAGAAAAGATCCATGTTTTTGCATCTATTTCCTAAAATATGTCTGTATAATTGCAAATTAGAATTTTAGTGCAAGATTTTGTCACATAATTTTGTAAATGGTTTCCTATCAGAGTATATGCATATCGACTGCATTTACGGTAGAAACGTTATAGACAGTCTCCTATGACATAACTTCCAAGTACAAAATTCAGAACTCCCGCTTCCACTGCAATGCTCTCTCCAGTCATCCATGACTCTAAAATAAAAAACAAGCATGCGTCTATTATAATCACTAAAAAAAAACATGAGAAATGTTCAAAATAATTGCATCAAGAAATGATATCAAGATAACTACAAACAAACAAGTGAACATTTTTATAAATACATCACAAAACAACTTGAGAATAAAAAAATTAATGAAATTCAAATGTGTTCAGACACCAGTAAACATATCTATTATATAAATGCGTAGACTCCGCATGACTTTTTATATCGCCTTCTACTAACAACGCTGTCTACAGATAACGATTAATAGAGAAGAGAAGAGATGAATACAAAAGTTAAAGAGTATATATATTCACATTAAAACCGCAGTTTGTGACAGTTCTTCCACTTGATCAAGTGTGTTCAGATAATATATAAAAGCATGTGTGATATGTCTTTATTTACACAACTGAGAAAAATAGTTCAAAAATTGTCTTAAAAAATCAGAGAAAAATTTATTCTTCCATCGATTATTATTAATTTGCGCGAAATTAACCACGGCAATCGTCTAACGCAAACGCATGAGGACCTTGATACACATCTGCTATGACGGTGCCACGATGTAACATTTCTCTTCCATTGTGCAATAAAATCATAGTCTAAACAAAACGGTCTTATTGGACGTCATTGCATAGTTATAATTTAATATTTTTCTGACCTTTAAGAGTTTTGAAACACATACGTATCCACACACCCAGCAAACACAAAGTAACAGTAACGTAACATTAATATTATAATTTCCCACTCAACGATGTAACTGTAATGCAACATGCCTTGTACGCAACAGTTAAATTGTTGAGTGGAAAATTATAACATTAATGTTACGTAACTGTTTCTTTGTGTTTGCATTGTGTCGGATCTAAATAGATCCAAGTTCAGTCGTTATCATAACATAACTGAAAACGAGTTATTATTGTTCGCGCGTGAAATACACAGAACTAGTATATTGTGAAGAAACTTGAATCTATTTGATACATTTTAGACATCAACGTGAATCATGATTATAACAATATTGTTGGTGTTGATTTTATATGTAATATTGTATGATTATTATGTGCATCATAAACGAAGTGGGCGACTTATTCGCCTTATACCAGGTCCACCAAGTGTTCCGATTTTCGGTTCGGCACTTTTATTTCAATGTTCACCACGCAAGTATTATACTTCTTTTTACATATTACGTTAAAAAGAATAATAAAACTATCGAAACCTTTTAGATGTTGTGCACACTTTTATTTTGAATATTATCTATATTTAGTACATTTTTTAGGAAATATATGGATACTTTTGCGTTCTTTTGTCGACACCAATCCCGTTCTAAAACTCTGGATAGGTCCTGAATGTACTATATTCATTCGTCATCCAGATGATTTGGAGGTGTAATAAACTATAAAAATAGTGTATACTTCTTTGCAAGTGTACACTGACACGTAGTTTTGCGACTTAAAACTGTTGTCATCTATAATTTAAGAAAAGCAAAACTTCAAAATTTAAAAAGATACATACATGAAATAATTTATAAATTAGTTGTACTAAAATTAGATTAGAAAAACTTAATATTTTTACTGTCTTCCTCTTGCAATTTCAGAAAGTTTTAAGCAGTACGAAACATAATGAAAAAAGTAGAGTGTACATCCCGTTACGTCCATGGCTTAACGATGGTCTTCTTACAAGCAAAGGTATAACGACAATAGTTTTTAATACCTTTAGTATATTTAATAACATATTTAATAACATCAATATATTATACCTTATTATATTATTTAGAAAAACTGAATTAAAGCGAAAATATACCACTATACTTGTACTATAAATAGTGTAAGGAAAATATGTACAGAACAAAATGGTCTGAACTTTTTTATCGGTACAGTTACATTAATAAAATATAAGAACAAATATGTAATAGTCACATAATGAATGACGCATTAGGAAATATACATATCTAAATATGTGCGATGTATAAAACATGTATCTTACACTATCACTCAATTAATTATAAGAATTATATCGCGTTATGCTTACTACATAGTATATATTGATGATTATAAGATGTACAAGTTAGAATGTTTTATCTTTTTTTTTTTACTATAATAATTTGCACAAAACATAGCTTTTATTCTGATATACAAAATGTCCGACAATTACTTTAAAAGTTCTCGTAGGCAGATAGAAGGAGTAAAACTGAGTCGAAAAGTCCTGAACCATTTTTTTCTATTACATATAATAAAGGAATAATTATTAAATAAATCAAGCCAATTAGCGCCGTCTTTTAGCCGGGCACGTCAGTGAGCTGCGCGGAGCACTCACGCACACTAGAAAGGTGGTTTACTGACGTGCGTTCGGCTATAGGTCGGCGCTGATTGACTTGATTTATTCAATAATTAAAATACTCCTTTATTATATGTAATAGAAAAAAATGGTTCAGGATTTTTTGACTCAGTTTTACTCCTTCTTTCCCGCTTACCAGAGATTGTAAGGTAATTTCGGACACCTTAAATATATATACAGGGTGTTCCATAACTGCTTTTTAACCGCTCGTAGATAAATAGAAAAGGTTATTTTAAGACAAAAAGTTCTATACCACTTTGCAAGATTCGTAATAATTAACGAAATATTAATTAATAAAAATCCGCTAATCAGTGTGCATCCAGCGTAAAGACAGCCCAGTCTGTCGTGCCGTAGCGACGGAATGGGAGGAGATAATAGAACATGTGCATACATAGGTAACATATAGGTTGCCGTCGAGCAGCGCACTATTTGCGCTATTGTATTTCATTGGTACAGCGCGACAGACTGTAAGGACACTGGGCTGTCCTTACGCTGGATGCACTCTAAGTAGCGGATCTTTATTAATTAATATTGCGTTAATTATTGCAAATCTTGCAAAGTGATATAAAACTTTTCGTCTTAGAAGAACCCCTTCTATCTACCTACAAGCGTTAGACGGCAATTATAAAACAACCTGTATATACAGGATGTCCCAGAATTGGTGTGATGTCTCTCGTAAACAGGTAGAAGGAATAAAACTGAGTCGAAAAGTTCTATATCATTTTGCTAGATTCGCAATAGTTACTGAGATCTTAATGAACAAAAATTAATAAATAAGCATGCATCGGGCGTGTAAAACAGCCCGGCGCGCTTCGCGCGCTTACAATGTTAGCAACATATGGGAGGAGCTAATATAACAGCATATACTATAACATATACATTAGTAAAATGTAATCGTGTGAAGCGAGCTGGGTTGTCTTACGCGCGTAAGACAGACTGATGTACGCTTATTCGCGGACCTTTGTACGTATATATATCCTACTTTCGTTTTTTTCAGGAAACAAATGGCACACTCGACGAAAACTACTTACGCCTGCATTTCATTTTAATATACTACGGCACTTTGCTGATGTTTTGATTGAAGAGGGAAACCATATGACAAAATCTCTGAAAGAAAGTGAAGAAACAGTTATACAAGATTTAGTTTCATTTGTTAGCGAGCATACACTAAACGCAATATGCGGTAATATATAATATTTTCTGTCGTATTTATGCATGTAGGAATATAGGTTTGCAAACGATCAAAATCTAAACAGAAGGTATTGTCCCAAGTAACATATCAGTAATATTTTATATTATAGTATACATGATAATATATATACAGGGTGTCCCAGAATTGCCGTACAATCGCTCGTAGGCAGGTAGAAGGAGTAAAACTGAGTCGAAAAGTCCTGAACCATTTTTTTCTATTATTTATAATAAAGGAGTAATTATTGAGTAAATCAGGCCAATC